CTTAATCACCCTAAGCTGCTGCACATCCTTTCCCACTCAATCTCTGTCTAGCCAGCCAATACAAGTCTTCTTCTCTTTCCTGAGTGTCCAGCCTGACATATAATTCACTTTAAGCTTTTTCCTTTGCTATCTGTCTTTTTGTTATACACCTAGTCCTAATTTCTTTATGCTCCTGGCCTTACTTCCCTTCCACCTGCATGCACAATATATCTATCTATCGCTCCTTTATATCAGCCAGCTCTCCCCCTTTAGTCCCTAGTCTCACTTCTACCTTATCTCTCACTGCCTCCTAACATTCCTTCCCCCGTCCTCTTCTTCTCTCGCTTCTTTGTCTTCAGCCAACAGCACTAGAGGTGGTCATTGTTAATGCAGACCTCGACTGATCCAGTACAGAAATCTTATTCTTGATGATCCAAATGGCTGGGTTGTATTTATTTACAAACGGTATATAAAAAGAAACATATTTGGCTCATTTGTGCTTTGTTTTCCCGCTCCCTGAAACACAGACAGGAAGCATTATGTTAAAAGTGGATAATATAAAAGTTGCATCCAAAGAAAAATCACCTGTTTTTATTTTAGTTCTGTAGTTAAAAAAATTTCACAACAAAAGTGAATTACTTTAAGTAATTGCTGCTGTAATATGATGTAAACTGTGGCGCTGACCTCCGTTTCAGCCTAAAACATATTTAATTCTCAGAAAACAACATGCAGCACATAAACATAATTTCCAAACATCCATTGTTACTCGTTCCTGTTTAGACCTTTGATCTTAAACTAATGGACATTAGAGGATTTTCCCACAGGCTTCCAGCTGAATGAATATTTTAGGAGTTTGCTGAGGTATGAACCCTCACACATATCCAGTGACATCTGCATGTCTTTCTCTTTCAGTTAAAAGAAACCAGTCACAGTGTTTAGGGGCATGTGGTAACTTGAGTCTTATTGTCAAACTACTTACTTCAGCAGTAGAAAAGGTGCTCCAGGCACATGATGAAGCTGCTGTGTAGTCACAATCCAAGACAAACATATAGTTCACAAACAAGAGCTTAAGTAAGGACTTTCCATGAGTCAATATAGGATTTATGAAAACTAATTTAATTCAATGTGCTGGCCAAGAAATATATGAGTCGGGGAGTGTGAATTGTACTGGAAAAATACAGTATGTAAAGTAGATGATACAGTCTAAACAACAGATAATGCACTGCCTGACCCAATAAAGCACGCTGCAACAACAGTAATATTATGTACAATCATTAAACCTAACATAATGCACTACAGGACATAACTGAAATATTAATACGAACTCTAAGTGGTCTTCAAAGTACCTATAACAAGATTTGAAAGGCCATTCAGTGTTTTGAAAAACTTTATTATATGATTATGGTAATCTCATCTGTATGCTTGGGCACATCACTAACCAGGTATGATTTCAACTGGACATTAACGGCAGAGGCTAAAATACCACATAGACGGGATTTTCCATGAGGCCACATAAAGTAAGGAGGGATGCTCTTGCAGAATCGTTATGTTGGCAATCAGCATCGATCTCATCATCCAGATGAGCAGACTGGACCAGACTACGCCTTTGTGATATGTAGGAATTGTAGCTGCAGGTACCTTAAATATCGAGTCCAGACAGAGGTGATGAGGACCATGCCCCAAAGCTTTTAACAAAACATGCTGATCATCTTCCTCTTATCAGGTAAGGAAAGCTAGGTGAAATAGCTTGAATAAAGCTGTAAAGGTGTCACAATATGGCTAGCAAAGAGCTGTTTGATTTGCTTTAGCGACAAGTTCTTTACCTCGGTATTGTGATTTATTAGCGATTTCTCCCTGTTAACATGTTCTTCCTGTTATTACTCACTAAAACAAGTTTTTATTACAACGTACCAACTTGAAATCAGTGATCTCGTTTCCCAGATTTTAAATACTTCATTTTTTTTACTGTGTAGATTATTGCATGGATTTGATTTTGGGTTTGTAACATCAATATGGATTTTAACATATCAGTATTAAAAATACATCAGCACCACTTCTCAGTTTCTCTGCTGATTGTGTGTCCTCCCTGAGGAGCTACTTTAGTTAAATATGTAGTTTTCATTAAACTTTGCATTTACACTAAGAACAGTTCAAAGTATTTAGGGGTATTGTGCTTTTTATTATTAATTGACATTTCTGAGTCTTCATAACTTTGAACCTGGATGTCAGTAAAAAGGAGATGTGTCATATTCTTACACTTAGATCAGCCATCAACCCTACATGGCGATGGCTTTCAAATGTTTACCCAAAATGCCAATTTTTTTTTTTTGTTTTCACCTGTGAATGCTCAAAAATCTGATAAAACAGCCAGGTGTACCAAACCCTGTTTCTGCTAATACCCTGTACTTCACTTAATGACTTATTTTACTACAGAAAGTAGACAGTCTTGTTTCCCCTTATTAGTCCTATAATTTACATTTTTTTTACCAATTAGACTGGAATAGTGCAGCAGATAAATCTACATTTCCAGGTGAATACAAGTTGCAAAATTTGTACACATACTCTTTTATTGCTTTTTTGATGAAGCCAACTTTCTATTAGCTAACTGAAAATTCAAGATGAATGTCAACAAAGGCAAAAAGTTCCTCTTTTTTAAGATTATGTAAACTACACTTCCCTTTTTGAACGATCTTTGTGTCAAATGATACACATTCAACTTCGTAGAAGTCAACTTTAAAAGTCATTTTGTGATTTTTTATATATTTTTTTTATATTTTTTTCTTTTTAGTTTTTTACATTTTCAAACAGGGTGTGGTGTGCAATAGTATAAATACGATTTGTCTCAGTTGCATTTCCTGAACGGATTCACCCCTGAACCCCCAAATCTCGTTTATTTCTTTTATTTATATTTAGAGCAGATTGTCTCCTTGAAGGTCTGCAATTCAAACCCTTCTGCATCTATGTATTACTTGTCAGGTAAACTGGTGGTTCTAAAGTTGTTTTTGGAGTGACTGTTTAAGAAGAAAAAAAAAAAAGAGGGTGATAGCATGCCGTGCCAGCACAGGAGAGATGAGTCAAGGGTGTGGATGAAATATGTAAAATTCAAATGTACTACACAGCAATATAATGGCATGAATATTAAAAGTGTGCTTTCAGTGGTGTAAAAGGGTTTTAAGTTATAAATTTTGATTTACTTGAAGTCAAAAATGTAAAAATCAAGAGTAACATTTCTTAAATGTATCCAATGGTTGAAATTCTGTAGTTGTTTCTAAGGTTGAAATGACGGTCAAGATGGAAAATGCAGAAGTTTTGACAACTCAAGTAGCTAATAGGATTTTTCACACTTCTCCAAGTGGACAAACCTGCAAATTCTGCTGCTTGTATCCACTTTTGAAAGACTGTTTCAGTTATCTGCTGCACTACAAGTACTGTAAACTGTACATGTGCCGTGTCCAACTTTCTAAAGCGTTTCATTGTTAGCATCATTACTGAAAAGTGAGTTCAGTCCACCATCACCTAAAGACAATGATGCAAATTCACTAAATTGGTCAGCAAAACCACCAGCTTTACCAGCCACTTGATTGGAGACTTTAAGGCTCAGATATGTTCTGATATAGGGCTAAAAAGCCAGCACAGGTTGTCAGGCGTCTACGGAGCCTAGGATGTTACCCCAAAGTGAAAAATGTTTGCAGGAGAAGAGATGTAATCTGCAGAGCTGCTAGCAAACATACAATAAACACACAAAGGACAGGACATGAAAGCAGAGCACACTCCTGCTTTTTTTTTGTTGTTTTTTTTAGTTTTCAGATGTTTGCTTACAAAACATGTTTCTGGTTGTGCATGAAATCTTTTCTAATACTAATCATATAACATATAAAGCAATTAGGAATGAAAAAATCTCCGTTATTTTTTGCATATACCCTGTTTGCATACCTGCAGGAGTAAGAAAGACAGGTAAACACCAGCTTGAAAACAGAACATTCAGTGCAACTTTCACCTCCGTGCACAGACACCAAAGGAAGAGGGGGAAAAAAATCAATTACCTCTTTTTTTCCTTTTTTAATTACATTTTAGAAGCATAGATGCATTACTTATGAAAAAGGTAGAAAAAACACCAAGTCTTTCTCAATAAGTTAAACCTCTCTGGGCGAAGAGCAGGGCCGACTCACACAACAGAAAATTTCCTAGAAAGCATTCAAATTCAGAAAAACAAAAGACATTTTGAACTCGTGTCACTGAAATCAAAGTGCGTCTCTCTTTTTTTTTTTTTTTTTTTTAAACTTGAGAAAAAGAAAAACACAGAAGATGCAAGTGGCTTTTGTTACGTTCCTTCCACCCTTTTCCACAGGGTTTTTTGCAAGCATTTTTCTTGAAACTTCAAGTTTCAACGTTTGATCGACAAACAAATAAGCTGAGTTATAACTGGTAAAAAAAAGAAAAAAGAAAAACATTAAAATAACAATAACAATAATTACAAAGACAGTAATAACGAGAAATGTAAGTAATAAACACAGTCCTGTACAGTCAGGCTCATTTTCTGATTGACCACAGCCAAACTGATCGATTAGTCTTCAGAAGTCTGATAGACTCATACTGATTGAAGAAAAGTAGCCAATGCTGTCGTCTCCTTTCAGCTGCCCTCGGCTATGGTTATAGTGGGAAAAGCCTCATCCAATTCATATCCCCCGCTGCTGTGGAAGAAACACACGAGGGAAAGGTTTTACACACAGTTAATGACAGCTGACAGCAAAAACTCTCAAAACTGGGCAAAAACCATAATGTTTTACCTCTATTTAAAACGTTAAAGTTTTCATACCCCTTAAACTCTTCTTGGCTTTAAAAATAATACTGAGTATTTAGTTTAACTGCTCTTTACCTTTAATGAAAGCACAAATTGTTTTTGATCTAATGCAACATCAAAACCAGTGTTAATTTTGACAACAAAGCTTAATTAGGTTTTATTCATCATTTAGGCATCTATACTCTTTTAGCTTTAGATTATAGTTGACTGAATCGAAAGTTTATTTAGTTGACCAAAATATAAAGTGTAACAGTTTACAAAGCACCTTATTTTCATTGACATCAAATGCAAAATGAGTCCACATTTCAACTCTTCTCTCCCTCTGACCCTGTTTATCGGGGGCAGACGTGACAACCTTCCTATGCAAGGTCAATTCTGATTGACTGAACGTAATTAGTTCTGATTGGAGTTAATTGTTTTTGGGGTTTTTTTTTTTTTAAATAAGATAACACAGGTCAGAACATTTATTTCCATCTGGAATTGCATTAATCTGGTCCCTCAGTATATGGTAGTCAGCTGATATTTACCTGACCACATGGTGCAACCCCTGATCATAGCACTGCTTTCACAGGTTTGTAGGGTAGGCACCAAGCATGATGGGTGCATTCGCCTCTCTTCTTACCCTGGTGCACTCATTACATACCACATGACCTTCCTCCATTGCTCCATAGTCTAATCTCTGTTACCTAACAAATTGAACCCTTATTAGCCCAAGTTTAAGGCTACACAGCCACTTAGTCTCAATGCCTCTCTCTTCACACTGTGTTTGTGGAAATGCACTTACTTTCATTATTAAAACACAGCTGTGACTTCTACTGTTGCCTTTTGTTTAGGATTTAAATTCACCAAACATTGAAGTGATGCAACACAATCATTAACAAAGATTTCCTCCCTCAGTGAGAAGTTCACCACTATTCTTCAAAGTAATGTATCTGTAGGTTTATAACCTAGTTGTAATAGATACAAGCACCTTAGATGCTTTCTTTGCTTTGATTTTTGATTTGTATTTTACTTTCGTAGCGTCTCAGGTTATAGGGGTAGCTGGATAGGCGTATGTTTTTCCTTTCCTCGTTTTTGGTGAAACAACATTGTTAGACAGAACAGCAAAACTATTAACACAAAGCCAATTAAAAATAAGCATCCTCAAGGGTAAGTGGGGATTTCTCACCTCACTGAGGTTCGCAGTGAAGGTTGTCCCGCAGAGCGCTCAGTCCAGTTCATGTACCTCGTCCTGGAGGGACGATGAGGGCCGCACTGCTTCACTCACTCGTTTGGCCATAATGTCCCACTGTGGAGCCAATACTTTGGATTTGGCACCTAAAAAAAAAAAAGAAGACCATGAGAGATGTCACAGGAGAAAACTAAAATAAATACAGCTAGTTTTTTAGTCTACAGGCAAACAAAAGTATTTTCAGATGCTCCCTTATTATTAAGGGGCTGCACAAAATTATTGCTTTCTTCTGCCCTCTGCTGGCTTCCTAAAGTACTTCAGCACACAGGAAAAACTCAACACCAAACCTTATTTTTGCTGCGCTTTAGAAAACAACGTGTGCCTCCACATCTTCCACTTCACTACTTTTTATACGCTTCAATCAAAGCCCATCAGGCCAGCACCATTAACATTCACATTTAGTTGGCAGCACAACACAAAGTAGCAATAAAATGATGTAATATTCAAGTTAATTGATGTTCAAAATTGAAATTAAAAACTCTAAATGCACTCCTGCTTGCTAGAGAAGCAACGAAGGCTATTTTGCAAATACTTGTTAGTGAGATTTCATGGCAGACTGTCATTTAGACACAAAGTTTTGTAAGAAGTTATATTTCTGCATTGAGGTCTGAGCGCCTCTGCTCAGTATTTACATGCTACTATTACATAATATTGTTTATGCTGTTTTGTGGTCTCTCAGTATTATTCTTTCTTTCTACTTTTCTACTCCTCAGACGATTTCAGCAAATCATCGCAATTCTTGATGCTAGAAGGAGTCTTTACTCATCCCTTTCACCAGCTTTTTACTCACAGTAGAAGCTTCTATTCCCAATGATGCAGCATATCTCCAACTTCATACATATAGAAACATACTAAAGAATTTAATTGGCTGTTCCATATGTATAGTGTTGTCTGGGTTAAGCAAACAAGACAAAACGTAGCAAATTTTAAAAGTAGCAAAGTTAGATGACAGAAGTTTCTTTTACCACTTGGGGGCAGCAAACACAAAGTTGCCATTTAGACAGACAACAAATACAAAAGTCAAGATTTAAGCCTCTTTTGGTCCCCTTTGTGGTCTCTACCAGCTCCTAAGGGAAATACAGCCCTTAGGTTGTTAACGCCTCGCTACTTTCATCAGCTCCTCACTGTGCCTGCTCGCAGCCAAAAAGATGCTGTGAGAGCGTGACAGTAAACCAAAACAGTAAACCTGCAGGCGAAACAGCTGAACAACGAGCTGAAACTCATTACGACGCTCCATAAGCTCAATTTGAGCAGCAGACTTGGGTCACAATTTCCTGTGCGTTCTGACCACAAATGATCCCTTTCACCCTGCCACAAAACACAGTCATTTAATAAGACAAATAAATAACGACATTTAAAAGTAATGAAAATAAACATGCAACAGAAACCCTTTCTGTCCTCTGATATGATTGAGTCAGCTAGTTGGATGTGAAACAAATGAAAACTAATCCCTAATCCTCGAACCTGGACGATTTCCAACTCAGATCTCCTCCTGGTGTGTTATCCCAGCCTGGGCCTGAGGTGGGCTCATAGAGCAGTGGAGATACTCTCCCTCAGGATACACTTACCGAACCCTCCTGATCCTCCTTTCTCCCGTTACCATGACAACATAGACCGTAGCCTCCAGCTAAAGAAGCAAGGCCGATCGGATCCTGTTGCAATCTCCCTCTTGCTCTCTCCTCTCTCCATCTTTCCCTGGCATTCTCTCCCTCTCTTCATTTCCCAGTCTGTCTCTACTCATCTCCCATTTCACAGGGGAGAAAGAAAGTGGGACATAACCCCACAAAAAATAAATAAATAACATAACAACATAAGAGCCCCACTCAAACTGGTAACCCTTCGGCAGTGGATCATAACTATGTGCTGTAGCTGCAGAGGTCGCAGGTGTAGATTTATATTCTGCTTAAATAACCTGGGTTAAATGTTTCACAATAGTGAGATAATAAATCTCAATGTGACATAATTGCAATAATTTAAAAAAGGAATTTTTAAAATGAAAAAGGCGAATATATTAAGTATTATTTAATTCAACTTCAAAACATGAGAACTGCCTCTTTAATGGTCCAAATTTGATCAAATGAGACAAGCAAACAACACCAAGACAAATTCAAGTTGCCTGTAAGCCTTTCAAAACCCTTTGAATGTTTTTTAAAGGACATTTTCATTTTGAGTCACAAAGGGGATTTTGATTAAAATGCAAATTGTTGGTACAAGTCTTTAACAACCAAAAAACAAAACAATATTCAACATATCAAGCATAACTTGGGCATGTGCTGAATTCAAGCTTACAGACTTAAAGGCTGATATATTTCTGCCTGCCCACAGATGCTGCACATCTGCAAGCCACATTGCAACCCACCCCCATCCCAGCCTGCTCTGTTCTATACGAAAGCCTTGATGCTGCTCTCCCTGCTTTTGGTTTTCCACATATCTGTGAGGAAGGGTGGAGAGGTGCAAGAACAAAGACATGCTGCCAAATATATACCACTGCAGATGGAAATAATCTTCTATGGTGGTTGTGACAAATAGTTCGGTGAAGATGAAATTCTTTGACGCTGACGAGGCAAACGGGTGCAGATTGTATATGTGCTTCAGAGTTTCTAGTCTGTCTGGCTCACCATCCAGTCCATTGTGCTGCTCATAGGTACGCTTGCCCAGGATGGTGGGAGAGCCGTTGTTGAGGATGGGAGAGGACTTTATAGGTGTCAGACTGCCTGTAGAGATTGACCCTCCGCGAGTCGGTGGATTGGGCTTGGATGGACGGGGATGTGCTTCTGAAACATGATCAGAGACACATGAAGAAAATGACAGAGGAAATAAATTCATTTTCTCATAATACCTAGCTCAAGGTATCACACCCAGTTAAAAGTGACCTGAAAAAGTAGAAACTGAAAAATGAACATGTAGTGGCGAATTGATCTCACCTAAATACCGAACAACAGACTCCAGAGGTTTACGTTCCACAGGTTTCAGTGGCAAAGGCTTTTTTGGCCTGTCTGGTAATCGCAGAGCACCTGCACACATTCAGTGAAACAACACTGTCGTTAGAAATATGAGGACGTGTACAGAGTGCCCAAATGTTATAACATGTCATAGTTATGCATGAGGGAATCTGTTCCTTACATTCTGCTTTGATGGCTGCTGTGTTGACTGGGAGGTAGGGGTGCCTGGCCATATATCGAGGTCTGATGATGTCCTGGCAGGTGCGACGTGCCATCCGTGTTAGGCTGGTGGTCTGCAGGTAAAAAGCCTGCCGGGTCTTTACAGCAAACTTGGGGCTGCCGCTGTGGCGAAGGGGCAGGCCATGGGGGCTCTAGAGAAGGTTTAGAGGGTGAGAAACTTCTTTTATAACCTAAATGTAGAACAGCCTGTACTAGTGGAAATGTGTATTTACAGTTGAATGCTAAATGATGGATTAGGGAGAGATCAATTTATCACAGGACTAAAGACAAAGAAAACACCTGGACTAAAATCATTGTCTGATAGGGATTTAATGGCTTCCAAAGGGAAAGACAGATGCCTAGAGTCCTTTTTAACTCCCCCATAAAGTACCCGTGAAAGACAGTTCTGACACGTCAGTATGTGTCAGTAAAGTTGCGGTCTAATGACCATTAGAATAGGTCCTGTTTTTTCCCAGGGTAGCTGCACAGACAGAGATCACCCTTATTTAATTTCTGATGCAAACCCAGTCATTTTGTTCTATAAGCAGACCTGAAATATGCCAGAAAGTCACTCGGTTCAAAAGAGAGCTTCAAGGGATTACTCCTAGTAGGCTTTCAAAGGGTAAAGATTTAAAATGCACAACACATTTAAATGACTGGGCATGCTGAATGTTCTGTACTGTAGGGATTTTACTGAAAACTCAACAGGATTGTAATAAAAAATATTTAAAATAAAATAGGATACACTGCTCTTTATTAAAAAGGACCACAAGAAGAGAAATGCATAGATGTATGGTGTGTTTGGCATCTGTAGACCCCAAATTAGGACATTGTGGTACTTTCTCTCTTGAAGTAATAAATATTACTTTTTCACAGGTTGTGGTGGCCGCACTCAAAGCTGGAAAGACCTACTTTCCAGCTTTGATTCATTCTCGAGGCTTACTGGGACACTTAATGGAACTGGGCTGTGATTAACTTCACCCTTGCTTTTCCTACTGTCATAAGACAAAATGTTTGCTTTAAAAGAGCATCATTTGGACCATTTTCCCCAAACAATAATATCATACTGATTCAAGCGTCTCAGATGTCATTTTTATTTTATACAATGACTGGGTTGTTTTAAAAAGGCTAAATTAACTTAACTAATAACCGACATTGGATTTTTCTCTGGAAGATGAACTTTTGGTGAACTACAAGGTTTCCGGCAGACAGTAAGGCTGTTATTTGTGGAAAGGAAACAAAGTCTATATCTAGTGAAGCGTGTGTGAGCTTGTACCATGTTGTTACGGTTGGGTCCGGGCCTCTCGCCATCCAACCTCGTGGGCATCTTCAGCCCTCCGTATTTCTTCCAGTAGGTCCAGCATGAAGCGCACAGGCGACATTGCATGTTGGGAGGTCCCCACGAGTACCACTGGTAGGAGCTGCTGGCTATACACACAAACACACAGCACAAAATCACATGGCTAAGCAGAGATGATTACAAAAAAAACAAAAATGGGTGTAGTGAGCCCTAGCTTTAATCATTCATCATTAAATTAAGTACAGCCTCTAAAATAATTCAAACGATACTTTGCTGCAGGGCACATAAGGCAATTTTCTCTTCTCTCTATTATGGAAATCCAATATCAAATATGTGCCGCATACAAAGAGCACAGAGCAGATCTTTAAATTATCTGTATTAGATTGAAAATACACCGATCTGAAGACAAGGATGATGGAGATGGAGATCAACATAGGCTGATGATCTTGGATGCTAGCTAAATAAAAATTAGGAAAATCAGTACAAAAGGATGTTGTCATCACGTATACTAAAAATACAGACGCAGTACCCAAGATCCATACCAGGTTAATTATCGAGCGCAATTAAAGAAGCAAATAGATTTTCACACCGAGACTGAAAGATGTTTAATTGTCGCATCAAAACTGATTAGGATTTGCAAAACATCTGAGGCTTTGACTGTATATCTATCACGACAATCTCATTTCCTCTAAGGAGGAGAAAGAACTCTTACACCAGGACACAAATAACAGTAGCTACTGCATTTGCACAATAACAGGACACAACAGAATGACTTACTGTAGCAGCTTTCACAGGCTCTACCCAAGCCTGGGGTCGGCACCGAGCCTGGAGGTCCTGGGACCGCTGTACCCGCTGTGCCCACTGTGCC